CTTTGCTAGCAGTGACCAAATAATAGTGACAAGTGAGTAAAATAATGTCGGGGATAGATGGATGGACCGTATGGATGGATGGATGGATAAGCATCTCCTTAGGTCCTTGGTGATCAGAGGGTCTGTGAGGGACACGAGAGGGTAGGCAGAGAGAGGGATCTAGGAAAACAAGTGGCTTTAATCCTGTAATGCTGATTACTGAGGCTCCAGGAAACTGCTGGAAATGGTGTGTGGCTGTGGTTAATGGTTTTCAGAAGAGAAACTGAAAAACAGCCCCAAATAGTGAGGACAGACAAGAACAATGCCATAAAACATAGGCTAGGCAGCGGGGCAGTGAGGATGGGAACTCTCCTCTCTGGTCCCAGCATCAGAGGATGAGAAGGAAGCAAAGGCTGGGCTGCAGCCCAGTGTCATCACTTCAGTGGGCTGTGCTGTGCACTTTGAGCTATGTCCCAGACATCTAGGGAAGCACTCCTGAGCTGAGCACTAAGTGGTAGAACGGGGTGTATAGATGCCCTTTCTACATGTTCTTAAAAGAGCAAGTTGATGTGTTTGTTCCAGATGTTGCCTGCTGCCTGCACTATTGATTTGCTACAACTTGGCCTATTAAAGGCATGTGTCTTTGGATTGGGCTGCAGGTTCCACCATGGGCCGACTGGAAGGGAAAGTTATTGTCCTGACAGCTGCTGCTCAAGGAATCGGCAGGGCCTCTGCGTTAGTAAGTTCACACCTGCTGTGGTTTACTGTCTGCAGATGTGCAGACTGGCACCAAGGTTATTTCAATCTCATTTACTGTTTTCTGTTCCTCTTCTCTTTTCTTTCTTCTTCCCTTGCTTTGGTTTTCCTCTTATTTTTCTTCCTTCTTTGCCGCTTGGAACTGAACCCAGGACCTCAAGCATGCTAAGCATACACTCCTATCCCTGAGCTGTATTCTCAGCCTTTCAATTCTATTTTTATGTTTAATATTGTCTGTCTTTTTCAATTTATTAGTTTGTGTATGTG